GCATAAATAAATATAACGACATCATTATGTAATCCACAACAGGAACACCTAAATATAAACTCCTAAAATTAGCAATAAAAAAGTCCACTTCTGAGAACAGTGGAATCTGTTTGGACAGATAGGATTTAAGAGCCATTTCTCAATTACTCAAAAAAATTTACACTGGTCTTTATTTTATGTCAACTAAATTTCTTTCACTAAGGATAGAACAGAATCACCCGAAACAAGATAGTACTTGTTAAATTTTGAGTCACAAATCAAGTAAGTAATTTAAAGAAATTCAGTGCAAAACCTGAGGCCTGACACGTTAGGATCTCCTTTCCTTTTTCCAACCACTCAGTGCAGACATTAAAAAACAGTGCTTATGGTAAATTGGCCAAAGAAAGCTTAGGGTACAGGCCAAAAATCAGTCAGTAGGGAGTCAGGAAATGCAAAGAAAGGTTTGGGTAGGTTACCGTACATAATTATTAATAATCAGGGCCAGTAAAACCCCTGTCACACCTAGCCGCGTTGCCACTGCGATTGCACAGCGTTGTTAAATTTCCCAGAGCGCCGTGAGATCGCAGGAAAAATTGATATTTTTCATGAAGATGGCGATGTCACCGCATTCTCACGGCGACCTTGGCATTACTAAGGAGCTCCATGACGTTCTACCGCGTTCCTATGGAGTTCTAGTTGGCGATTGTCTGCGCTCTCATGGTGCTCTCACGTGGCTTCCACTGCATGCATCGAGTTGTCACGGCACGCACACTGCATGTGCACTGCGCTTTCATGGTGCTCACGGCGTGTTGTTTTGCACTACCTTTCAAAACGATATCTCCATCAGTTCTCCATTCTTCCATTTGCTCTCGAACAGTTGAGACCATGCCCGCCAAAAGAGGTAGAAAGTTGAATAAGGCAGGGAAAGATAAATGCCCACTGCACAGAAGCAAGTCCACCATCACCTCATCAACCAGGCGATTAGTCACCACAGGTGCAGGCTTCTCAGGCGAGCACCCTATCAAACTCTGTGCAGGCTCGCGGCGATTCTGTGGCGTTGTATGAGACCTAACTATGTTGCTACAGCGACCTCACGGCGATTCCAATGCGCTCTTATCAGAACGTTGGCGATTCCACCGCGTTCACTGGCGATGCCACTGTGTTGCCGGGGTGATGCTTGCGATTCCACTGCGTGCAGATAGGCGTTCTGGATTTTTTTTGGACACCGTGGGAACGCGGCCCTAGTGGGACAGCCCCTTAAGATGGCAGGAAACACTTTGGCCTCATATTTTAAGTTAATCATCATTTCACTTCATGTCTAAATTTATTTTAGCAGTTGAACATGCATACGTCAAAATTTCAAGTAAAAGTCAAAATTTCTATTCAGTTCATTTTTTAATTAAAGCACGATCGATATCCATGGAAACAAGGTATTGTTACTGGTGACTCATCCTTATCTTTACAGGTATGTTAACTTGACTCATTCTTCAGGTGTAATTACAGCAGTCACCTTGTTGGTCTCGGTTTAATTAATCAATGCAATGTTATAATTGCATTTTAATCATACATGCTTGTACAAGCATTATCAATAACACTACTTTTACATATTGAACAATTAAAATGCATTTTATCAAATCTACAAGTCATTTTGAAAGTCATTTATAAATGTTTCAAATTTTGAACAGTACTCTAATTCTTCTACTAGCTGTGAATGACAAAACTAACCGTTTAGGTAAATATAATAATAATCACAGGAAAGGTTTGACTAATTTGCTCTACTCTGCTCAATCCTGCTATATATTATATGTTTAGGTCAACAACAAAAAGCCAACAAATTGTTCATTGTTCTTTCAAATCCAAATTTGTTCCACTAAAGCACCGAAGTATTGATTATTTCTCTTTAATTTTCAAGATGAATGCATCTGCTTTCCACAGATAATTGTCTAATCGATCAGATTTCCATTGTGTTGCCATGGCAGTATTCCTATACCTGAATGATGCACCCCAAGACATCTGCAGACAGATGTGTCATATTTCAATGTAAAGTGTGCAGGTACTCAATTTCTAATAATATCCAGGTAGAGCTAGGTGTACTAAGGGAACCCCGTCCTGCTGCAGGCAAAACACTGGAGAATGGTATTTTAGTTTTTCTAGCATACACTGTTTAACCTCCCCTTAATTTCATTTTGGATGTACAAGTGTATACATATACGTAGCTGAAACTGGACTGTGGGCCCCTATCCATGAAACTGTTCTCATGCTCAAACTCAGATCCTCTACTCAATTTCTTGTTCCAGTGATAAAGGAATAAAAAGCATACAACTTATCTATGATTTGGAGAACTTTGGATAGGCTAAAAGCCATATTCTGTTTACAGTGGTAACACCCGACTTTTTTGCCGTGTCACAATATATGATTTATGCAAGTAACATGAAAATTGGTTTGAGCACCGAGTTCATGTTTGAGCAACCGCATAGTGTCTGGAGGTCCAGGGTTTGAATCCTGGTACACTTTGTATTTTCACTCTCAGAAAACTGTTGTTGATCAATTTTTTCTTTATTTTATCTTTATTGTTTTTCTTAAAAGTTCTGTAAGGTATGTGATTCTTTTTCAACACTATTTATCAAAAGTTATTTTCAACCCGATATAAACAGTTCCCTGTTCGTTTTTACAGTTTTTGGCAGTAGGGTTACTTAAGGAGATATATACCATACCTTATACATTTGACTTGTGATCTGTTTATATGATAGGTTTGTATAATGCTTAACAATTACCTGGATGTTATTTTCAGTAAATAAACTTGTATGTGTACGAGCGTGCAACTGTCCTAGTAAGACAGTATATCCAATATATCCTTGGAATAAATTTTAATAAAAATTGAATGATCAAGTTTTGATACCTTTAGATCATATTTTGATGAAAAATATCAGTTTTGCGGCTTGCATAAATTGTATTACATTGTAATGGTATATATCAGCTCTGTAACCTATAAATTTGTAATGTATATTTCAGCTCTGTGACCAAGTGGATAAATTGCATAAATGCATATATTTCCGTCCTGTTATTTGCACATAGGATATGTTTCAATTCTATCACTCCCCAAGTCTACAAACTGAATCGTGTGTATGTCATACATTCCTTGACTTCACAAAGATACAACAGTGTTGTAATTGTAAGCCACTGTGTTCATGGCCGTGACTTCGCTACCACATCACATTTAGACATTCTTTATCAACTCCCGAATCACAATTCTTGTTCAACAGGTTACTGATTCATCAACCATGATTAAGTGAGCAATTTACTAAAATTGAGTGAGGGTTTCTTATTCTTATAATGCAGAAATTTAGGTAGATTTATGTAAATCTGAACTTCCTGGCTAAGCAATTATGAAAAAGTACAAGAATAGAGTAATTTGAATGTAAATTTAAATGAAGACGAACTATTTCACAACACCTTCCCATTATAATTATATTACTTTTAACAGTCTTTCTTTTTTTCTTAGATTCTAATCACCCATCAACACTATAAGGTAATAAATTAAGGGCCCACGTAACAGACAAGAGAAGGCTGATGCATGATACGATCGAGACATAACAATTAAGACCGGTGTATACAATGTAGATACAAATCTAAATCCCTAAGGACAACAGAGGTACAGAAGTTTGAACTTGACCATAACATGATCTTGACCTTGAAGTCTTGATCCCCAGAACTACTGGTCACCGGTGATCAACATTGTCAAATTACACTACAGCAAATTGTATGCTAATAACTCACAGATTACAACTCAAAAAAAAATTATGTTACCGAAATACATAAGCTATGGTTTGACGGCTGTGGCATGCAGTGACAACATCTTAACTAACACTGATGGTCCTTAATGTAAAAACATTTCATTTTGATAGGCTGGTGCCGTAATGAGATATGATATTATCAATTAGACCCGATCTGTGCTGGTATGCTGTACCTGTAGGTTTACCTGTAAGGTTAGGTAAGGCAACAAGTGATGGACGACCTGTCAATCACTGCCGCATTCCAACACTTACTTATATACCTGTAGCATAGGTAAATGTGGGTAAAAAAGTGTTCCTTTATTCAAAAATGTAAATATTCACCTATTTATTTCTGTAATAACTACATTCACTGACCGTTTTATTTATTATCTATGCAATTTTTTGCTCATCAATGCATAATGTAGAAACTAACTAGGACTAAAAGTCACGATATACAAATGTACACAAACACCTATAATACACTTGTACATCAATTGCAAATTCTGGACAAATTAAGGAAATACATGTACCGGATACCTTTAAGTAGGAACTTGTAAATCTCTAGCGAAAGTTTACCTTTCAAATTGTTTTTAAAGCGACCAAGTAAATTAAATCTTCTTCAAGGCTGAGTTATCTAATTATTTATTTGTTTTACGAGGATTACGAACAGCCTCGTTAAACAAATAAAGAATTAGACAACTCAGCCTTGAAGATGACAGGTAAACTTTCGCTAGAGATTTACAAGTTCCTACTTAAAGGTATCTGGTATGTATTTCCTTAATTTGTCCAGAATTTGCAATTGATGTACACGTGTATTATAGGTGTTTGTGTACATTTGTATATCGTGATTTTTAGTCCTAGTTAGTTTCTGAGGCTGATTTATTTCTTGTGATGAAAAAAGATTGCACTTTGTCTTATTTAATTCTAGTTTTATAGCAAATAAAGAAAATCCCTTGCCACTTTAAAAGTGAAGACCATGTGGTGTCCGAATTCAAACAAATAATGTAGCTGTTCAATATATTTCTGTGAACAAAATATATGTCTCGCTGAGAATTATTATCAGAACATTTTTGACGTCAGTTGGAAACTTCCATTTGTCTCTGAAATTGCCCACCCTAAGCAAACAAGTCCCTTTTTGAAATTTCATCTAAAATAAGTTTTCCTTTAAAACACTGACATGTCACCAAAACAATATCGGAAACTGTCACCAAGCTTTACATGAAAATCACACAGTATGGTGGAACTTACCAAGGAGATAGCCATCGAGAGGTCCTTGGCTGTAGAAAAGTATTTGGTAATAAATCCTCTCTAAACGCGATATGGTAGGCCATTCTTCCTCTGCTGCAAGGTAAAGGTAAAAAAGGTTAACTACAGATTCATTTTTGAAGATAAAGCATATCTCCTAATATAAACCAATAAGCACTGGTTCTGAAGAAATTCATGAACTGCATGGTTCTTGAAAATATTCATGAACTAGTGTATTGAATTATTTTAAAGTTCATTAAATTATTCATGAACAAGTTTTGAAACATTCATTAAAAGTCACATGAGCATTAAAAGAAACTCGTAAATCCGGTTCATGACCTTGGTTCATCATTGAAATAGTTCATGAACTTTTTCATTCATGAACAATCAATTTAATGAATAATTAAGTTCATGAGCTTCTCATTTAGCATACATGGAAACACTTCATTAACTTCTCCAGAATTTGTTCCAAAAGTGAGTTCACGAACAGTAAATTTTTCAGGGGAATTAATTGCTATGGTCTTATTTCACCTTTGACCTTTAAAGGTGAAGGTCACGTTGACCTAAATAGTGCGCTGCACACTTTCTGTGGAGACAAAATGTTATAAGAGGGGCAAATTGCAGTGGGAAGACTTTATTCATCTTCATTCAAAGGGAAGACAATAAAATATGAGTAAAAAAAACATTTTTTGCTCAACAAATACTCCAATGTTTAATTGCATGTCTTTCATCTAATTTTGGAATATCTACAAGATCTAAATAATGTCACCTATATTTGAGGATGGCTTTAAGCATTTCATATACTTTGAATGCGTATATTTTCGATGTATAAATGTCCAGACTGCAAACTTTCCATATTGGAGATCATTCAATAGCTATATGTACCAATAGCACATACCTCAAAATACACGACAATTGGCATGAATGATCCATTGAAGCTATAGAAGTTTTTTTACATATATAATATTTATCTGAAAACCCACTTAAAAAATGTACATGGTGTAATATATCCTCCACTCAAATTATTTACACAACCAACCGTATGTCTGGTGGTATTTTCTCCTGGGATAATGGTATAATCCCCCTGATTTAGTGGGACATATCATGGCCTGTTAGATATTTGGAGATACCTGATAGTATAATTGAGTGTGAAACTCAGGCTGTCCAATCTGTAAGCTGATCGTGAATACAGAGGTCAACAATAATTTGTATTGATCGCCTAACTGTAAATACCTGTTTAATTTATCTGTCAATCAAACTGGTCCTAGCCAGATCCAAATCATTCTAATTTCTTCTGCATAAGGACTTGCAATTATAGCTGGAGTCTGTAGAATCAACTGGATGGGTGTAAGCTAAGGAGGAAGGATATAGGGGATTGGGGGGGGG